CCATGGGGTGCAGGGTGGTCTCTGAGGCTCGCAAGCCTCCTTGGGGTGCTGGGGTAGGTATGCAGGGGTATTTACTGGGGTGAGTGTTGCACTGGATGCTTGCCCATCCACTGTGGCTCAGCCTGTACCGTGGCACTAGCTCGGGAGGGATCTCAGCACCGGTGTAACCTTTGCAGCCCGCGGGAAAGGTGACTTCCATTTAATTCTAAATTATGACATTATTTTATTAGATCTTTAAACTTTATTTAAATTCTTTATTTAAAAAGGGGGAGGAAGGTATCATATTTTAATTAGTAGCGGTGTCAAAGGAGACCTAGATTAATTATTTGAAATCACTCCATCCAGATGGTTTTAATTTTCACAGCAGGGAACCGGCATCTTTTTAAGGTGATATTTTTCAAATTAAAATCAGCTTGGATATTACTCACGCTGGCTGTGGAGCGAGGGGGTGGGGGACGTGAGCCGGCGTGCCCCGTGCTTGTCCATCTGAGCGCGGGCTGCCGGGGGGTCCCGCCTGGTGGAGGCACGAGCTGCCAGCTGTCCTTTGGGACTGCAGCTCAAGGCTCTGCCGTTGGAGTGTTTTATCAGCATCAGCTCCTACTTTGGCTGGCCAAAACCGGTATCTGGTCTTCAGCGTTATTCTTAGCAGCTTTAGTCACAGCCTGGAGACTGGAGTGGACGGGGAATGCCTTCCAGCTTAGATGGGAACGTGCCCTGTCCTGTCCTTGCCTGTGTGCAAGCTGTAGAGACCTCGCCTGGCCCCTTTGGTGGGTGGCCCTGGGTCCGTTTGCATGCCGGGGTGGATTTGACACTGTAGATCCGTGGGCCACTCCTTGGCGCTCTGGGTGTTGGCCGTGGATCTTGTGCCAGTCTTTGGGACTGCTTGTGCTGGCTCCACACCCTTCCCTCATGTGCAAGCTGCTGCCCTGCCCTGCCGAGGCTGACCATTAATCCTCTGCTCGTGTGAGGGAAGTCCTTTCACAGTCGCCTCCTCAAAGACAGTCAAACCTCGGGCCACTCCCTTGTCTATTAACGCTGCATTGCATCTGTGCAGCCTCCCGGAGCTTCTTGGAGCGGTGTACAGCCACCAGGTTATATACCATGGTGGTCAGCCTAGCCCTTGAAGACCTGTCTGTGACCTTGTGCTGTCCTCCCATGCCCTGGCTCAGCTTGTCTTGATATTCTTACTACGATGGGATATTTCTGGTTCACATGGCCGTTACTCACTGGAGCAGTCACTGGTTCGATACAGCCTTGGTGGGTACAGGGAGAAAGCCTGCAGCACCCACTTGTCACTCATGAGCTGCTTGCTGTCACAGGTACCCAAAAGCATGGTGCATTTCTGAAAGACTTAGATAAATATCTGTAGTCACGTGTGATTCCAAGTGATACTCTGCTGTAATACAGGCATTATCCTGCTTGCTGTCAGAAAGAACTTATTCTTTTTATATCCCCTGTGATAACAGATTTAAAAAAATATATCTAGATAAATGTGAGCAGCCAATTGCTAGAAAACCCTGAGTTTGTGGATGTGACTGAGCTGCGAAGGGAAAACTTCATTTAGGGCTCTTGTGAGTTAAAGGTTTGTGATATTTGCACTGCTGCAGAAGCCAAAAGCTGACTTTACAAGTGGGAAATATATTAATGTGTTTAAATGAAACAAACTCCGATTTCTATCCCCGTGGTAAATCCTTACAGTGAACATACTTGCTCTTAGAGGGTTTTAAAGTTTGAAATATGAATGCCAAAAAGAATGTGACTTTTTGCAGCACAGATCAAACATTCTCCAGAGTTTGGCAAAAGCCATGTTTCTACGGCAGGGCTCGGGTCTTGCAAGCGTGAGTATTTCCAGAGCAGGACCGTGGATTTGCACTTGCTGACACTCACACATTCTTGCATTGTGTTTCGACCATGTCTCCTTTCTCCCTCTCCGTATCGGAGATGGATCTGAACCAAAATGTCCAGTCTGCCTGTTCCTGCCTCTTCAGGGAAATTCCTGGAATCTGAACCTCGAGCATGACTGGAATTCGTATTTAGATCAGAGATGGAATAAGGCACTGAATTTGGACGTATCTAGGTTTTCGAGATGATGATGACGTGCTACACAGCAGGGTGGCAGTTTGGCCACTTCTGCAAATACAATTGTGCCAAGGCAGGTGGCTGATGAAGATGCAGAAGAAATCTGTCCTCTAGCATAGCTCTTGGCAGTGCTCGAACCAGCTCTGGCCTCGATAAATGTGTGAGGCACTGTGAGATTGGCTGTATTTCTCCAGCTAGAGCAGGAGTCATGGACCTAGACTGCCAGAAGGCAATTAGTGACCTCCTGGGAACATAGCTAGATCTACAGAGAACATCTGCAGGGTGGTGTGCATTGGACAGGACAACAGGGCCACGTTTCTTCCCTGCTAGCTGTTGTGGTGGTCTTTGGGAGATCATAAGTGTGTGGCTGGACCACTTCTTTGCAGTGTTTGAGGGCTGCTGGCTGTGGGGAAAGGATTTTCATTCTTGCCATGCTAATCTTCATGAGAATAAAATCCATGTTCTTATCCTCCAAGAACCCTCCTGCAGTGTGAAGGAGAGCATTAGCCTTGAGCTCGACTGGGGCTGTGGGGTTGGTGGGGACATCTGGAGCACACACGTGTGTCTGCATGCTCTGTGCTAAACTGGCATTAAATCTGGAGCATCCCCATGGGAGTCAGTGGAGATGTGTCCGATCTGCACCTGTGACCAAGCCTGGAGGCTCAGCCCTGGGTGGTTCCTTGGGTTGTTCCCTTGCAGAGCATCCCAGCGTGGTCTGGGTCGGGTGGAGGTAATGGGACAACGCGCTAATGCGCTTTGCACACTCTGACTTAATGGGACCACATTGGTAAATGCTTTTTTTTTCTTTTTTCTTTCTTCCTTTACAAGCCCAGCTTCTAGTGGAAACAGACACTTTTGGCAGTCAAGTCCGGATCAAAGGGAAGGAGACAGACTTCTACCTTTGCATGAACAGGAAAGGCAAGCTAGTGGGGAAGGTAAGTGTTTCCTATTAATTCATTTGTAACATGAGTGTTACCTTTAGCAGCCTCCTCAAGGCTGTAATGATGTGTTTGAGCTTCGCCTGTCAGCCTCAAATGAGAAGCAGGACGGAGGGTATGTGGGGTTTGTAAGCCCTTCCTCACCTCCAAAAAAATCCATCTCTGCAGCCAGCCCTGGGATTCTGACGATGCTTCCCATGCGGATGGGTTTGCACTTTACAGTTGCGTTAAATTGATGTGAGGTGTCATCTCAGTGCCCTGGTGTCATAGAGTTGTTACTCCATCTTTCTTTGGAGGGAAATTCAAAGAGAAAAAAGAGCAAGCGAGGTACTGGGCTCCTTTCAGTGATGAGCCAGGGGATGGTGTGGCAGAGCTGGAATCCGAGCATCGTACTGGGGCTGAGCCTCACGGTTCTAGCATTACAGGAATATTTTATTACTTTGGATCCCTGCACAATAGAAGCACGTAACAGATTACAGTGTATTCACCCATCTAGCTTAACTTCTGTGCTGAAGTCATATATTTTATATACTAACTTGTCTTTGTAACCTAGGTGCTTCTTCTTTATTGTTGGCAGACCTAGAAGCTTGCTAGGTAGGCAGGAGCTTGCTCACAGCTAAAATACCACCAAAAAATAAATATAACTCAGCCCCTTCCTCCACTGCTCGCACTTTGCACCACAAGGAATTAAAATCTGGCAACTCCGTGGCCGGGAAGAAGGGAAGCTTGAGTTTTGTTTTGAGTCAACACAGCGAAAGCCGCACTCCCACACAGAAACCAGATTGCTGTGATGAACCATTATTTACTTTTGTGGTCCCGGGAGTGACACTTGCGGGACACGTGCCTTCCGCGGAGGATCCCTCCTGCCACTCTCGTTTTCCTTGTGAGCAGCGTGGCTGCTTCTGTTGAGCCTCAGCTGCTGCAGGCGGCCGCCAGCATCCAGGACCCTGGTCCTGGAGAAGGAAATTCGTTCTATTAACCGGATTTAGACCTCTCAGGATACACATGGATGGTTTTGAAGATTGCCCTGAACACAAAGCTTGCATTTGATTTCTCTTTTTCTTTTCTGGTGTGCCTTAATTTTTCATCCATTAAATGTGATGATAGCATTTTTCCCAGAAATGTTTTAGGGATAATTTTTTTAGTTTTCATGAGGTGCTCCACAGTAATGGAGACCTTAGATGCATTCAGGTTAGATGGAGTAAAATGAGTGTGAAATCTCCTGGTTTTTTTTTAACACATCTTACCCCAGGGTGGATCAGAGGGGGTGCAGATTGCAACCTGCATCCTATCCTGGTCTACGCTGAGAGTCCTGGAGCACCCTGGCAAAGTCAGGGGCTGTTTTTCAAATTGCGTACTATAATTTGGCAAGATTCGCCCCTTGATTTGGCCCATAGGTCACCAAGGCAGGACAGTTCCTTAGCTTGTCACCTTTCATGCAAGTTTTTGTGATTTGTGTTGTTTTGTTTTTCTTCTTCTTGATGTGCTTTTCGTGTGGTTAAATTGGTGAATGTTTTGTTCTAAAAAAAAATAAAATAAAAAAATCTATTCTTGTACATATGAGCCTTCCCACCCCAGACTGCTGACAAGTTCACAGACCAGCCGACCTGAGCAGGAGGGGGTACGGAGAATGGTGTTTGGAAGGAAAATGTTCCAGACGTGTTGCTCGTATTAACAGCTTCTCATGAGCAAAAAGAAAAAAAAAGAAAATAATAGCATGTCTTCTTGATACAAAAGAGTGTGGTTTTAATTAGTATCATAGTTTCAGCTCTTTTTGTGGCAAGAGTTTGAGGGAATGCTTTTTAGCTTGAATGCTCTAAACAGCTAGTAAACCCCAAGGAAAACATTAGATAAAAGTTACGCCTGGGCTTATACAAATATTTAAGTTCAGTCTTGGGGTGTAGGGTAATGAAACCCATAAACTAATTGTTTCACGGTCACCCCGGTATGTTCATTTGGCAAGAGAAGAGCCATGGGACCAAAACCGGGTCTTTTTCTCTGCTCGTTTCCTATTGCCTTACACTGCATAATCCTCAGCAATACCAGCATATGCCATCTGGCTTTGTTCTCCTCAGTCAGCAGTTTTGAATCCTCCCCCCGCCCAGTTGAAAACCTGCTTTGAATTTAGTCCTTTTTGTTTCCCCTAATCACCTACAAAGGGTGTGAGGGAGCAGGTTGTTGTTGTTCTCGGCTGGATCCAGTGATGGGTGCGAGAGCTCCAGAGACTGGGCTTGCTCCCCACCTCGTGTTGCAGGCGAACAGACTAACCCACAGGGCTGAGAAGAAAAGCCTTCTGCGTCGTTTTTATTTTTTTGCCAGAAATTGCACCTATGCCAGTGTTTCTGAGAGGAGGCCATCTGATGGAACTCTCAGGAGCCCCAAACCTTGTGTTTTCTCCATGGCTCTGTTGCTCCCACATGTTCACAGCCAATGTTGGCCAAAGGGTTCGATGATGTTTTGGGCAGGCTTCTAGTTTTATTTATTGTCACAGCATGCAACTGCTGAGGTCACTGATGCTCTATGTGATGGTTCTGAAAACTGGAGACGGGGCACATGTTGTACAGGGAGTGACTTTCCTGTTAAAGGCAACCAGCACTGGGGGAAAACAAACTGGATTGTGTTTTCTCATTGTTTCTTAGTATTATGTTGAAGAAGACCTAAGAAACATTTTTTTTTTTTCCTTCTGGCCTTATTTTTTTTGCCTGTGGGTTTTTGGGTGCCTCTATGTATGCACATGTAGAAATTATATGTCCTGAGTTTTCTGACTTTGCTGAAGTTTTCTATGGACCACTGAACTTTATCGTAGAATAGTTTGGGGTGGAGGGAACTTCTAAAGGTCATCTAGTCCAACCTTCCTGCAATGAGCAGGGACATCTTCAGTTAGACCAGGTAGCTCAGAGCCCTGTCCAACCTGATCTTGAATGTTTCCAGGGGTGGTGCTTCCACCACCTCTTTGGGCAACCTGTGCCGGTGTTTCACCATCCATGTTGTAAAAAACGCCTTCCTTATATCTAGTCTGTATTGCTTTTAGTTTAAAACCATTACCCCTTGTCCCCATCTTTCCTGTAGACCCTCTTTAAGTACTGAAAGGCTGCAGTAAGGTCTTCCTGGAGCTTTCTTTTTTCCAGTTTTTGTGGTGGAGTTATACTAAAAGGAGACAACAGGAATGCTGGGTGCTTTTCTTAAAAGCTTTTTTGACGTTATTGTTAATTCTGTTTATTTGTCTCAGGCTTCTTAGAAACCTGGGGAAGAGATGGGGACCCTGAAAGGTTCAGCTCTCCAAGGAGAAGCGCAGTGTGGCTTGTCCACTTGTGCCAAGGCACTGGTCACCTAGAACACAAGAACGCCGAATATTTGCAATAATTCAGTGTGAGGGGAGAAGAGGAGCTATAACGGTCTCTTTGGAGGAGGTCTGAGTTTCTAACTGTGGTTCTCCTGGGGAGTCCTTCTGCGATTTTTCTCTCTGGCTTAGCTTCTCTTGCCTTGTGTGTTGAGACAAGGACATCAGTAAAATAGGGACTTCATGTCTGTAGAAGGCTGTCAAAGGTAATCGCAGCCCAGGGTGTGAGCGAGTGGCGGTTAATTCACTTGGCCACCTCTGACTGCTCTTGTTGAGCCTGTTCTTACACCAAATTCATGCTCTTGGGAATTGCGGGATGCTGCAGAGATTTTCTTGCCCTACCCTGTCCCAGTCCCCTCATCAGGAGAGTTTTGCAAGCAGTTGGTGATCTTGGTGAAGCTTAAACTGGATCTGTCAGCATCATTAGACCAAAGCCCTTTAGGCACTGCTGGGGCTAGTGGCTGATATGTGGTGATCAGATCCCTGGGCACTGTTGCCAGGGGAGTTCCTGTGGTTCTCTACCAGCTACCCATGGGATCATGCAGTCTGGTGGACACTAGTGCCCAGCTTATAGCGGGTATCCGTAAGGAAAGTATTTTGCACTCCTGACTATCCAGGCAGAGAATGGGGCTTTTTTTGTGGCCGTACCCAGGGCAGAGGAGAACAGAGCTTGGCTTCCTGCAAAGCTGCCAAGTGGGAGAAGAGTCTGCTTATTGCAGACCATGGCAAGGGAGACATCAGTTTTCAAAGTAAAATGTAGAAGCAGGGAAGGTAAGTAAAGGCTGGAGGGATCCAGAAGATTTGAGAAAACTGGGGAAGGAGCTAAGCACATCTGTGGTTTGATCTAGAAGTTTCTTCAGAAGATGCTTCAAGCAATCCCACTAATGTTCTTCCATGGCATTAGGTGGATTGTGTCTTTTCCAAATCAATCAGCAATATTATTCCCTGTTGGTTTCATTTGGAGAACAGCTCCATCTCCCAGTGTGTTAAGCAACTCCTTGAGCTCTTCCAGGAAGGAGAAGCAGGTGGTGCGTGCTGGAGCCATCTCCTCAGGGTGGGATGGGATTGGGAGCACAGGTGGAGTTGGGACGGTGTGGGGACCGTTGGTTGTGTGCTGTGCCCCCATGTAACACTGCTCCACAAAATATGGATGTAATCATGATATTGCGAGTCTGCAGGAGATGCTGCACCACTGTCCTTCTTCTGAGGTAGGATGTGGCTATGGAGAAAGCTCCAGAATTAGGGTCAGAGTTCAAAAAAAAACCAACAGAATGAGGTCTGTCACAGGTACCAACCCTGCCAGCTCTACAGAAAGTGAGAGCAGTGAAGTTGTATCCCAAGAAGTTCTTGCTTGTTACATCAGTTCTGCTCCTTCCAAGAACTGAGAGCATGTGATCCTATAAAATAGGTTATTTCCCCCCAAGTCCACTTGCTGACTTGCACCATCTCTCCTTGGGTTTTCTTTTAAAAGTCCTCAGTGACCCGGTATACACACAATCTCAGAAAATCATTATAGTATACCTGCATTATTTTTGACAAAGCATTTTACTGAGTTTGGTTTTATTTCTCCATTTCTCTGTGATTAACCTGAACAGTGGGGAAGAAGCTGTTCAGTGAAAGGCAGGAGCCCCCCAGCTGGTCGGGCTCCAGACAGACG